GTGGCTTTGGATGACCCGTATATTTGACAGACAGTGTTATATCGGACTCTTCCTCGACAAAGAGGTCATCGAATGTTTGAGTGAATTCAGGCTTTTGTTTCTTTTCCTCATTATAGACAACAACAGTGGTTGAGGCGAATCCGTCCTTATTTTCGGCAATTATCTCGTATAAGCCGTCATCTTCTGAAGCCTTTTCCACTTCTAACCGATATTTATAGTAATAGATATCTTCAGTCGATTTCATTTGAATTCGTTTCGATTCTTTGATTTCAATGCCATTTCTTAGCCAACGAACTGAAGGCTTGGTTTGTGCGTTGACACAGACCTCGATGTGAAAACTTTTACCTTTTTTTATTTCAATACTTTTGGGCGGTTCTGCAAACACTGGAGGAATGCCTTCTAATATAGATATGATGGACGACTCGCGGGACATACTCTTCCGGCTCGTTGTCACTGACTCTACGTCTGAATATTCGCCTTTTGGGTGAAAAAAAAATAATTTTAAAATATTTTAAACATTGAATCGACTATTCGTGTATACCTTCAACATTGAGGTCTACAGTGTATGACTTATAACCGATTGAATTCTTGGCGACGACGGTATACTTTCCCGAGTCTTCGGCGAACACTTCTTTGATGATGAGTTTAGCGCTGTTGTCCTCCTCGTAATACATCTGTATTTCGTCGTTGGCTTTTAAAATAGACGAGTGTTTAAACCAAGTGATGGTCGGCCGAGGGTTGCCCTCCACCTGACACTCAAATGTAACCGTTTCTCCGACCCACGCATACATACACTGAAGATCTCTTACAAATCTGGGCTCAAATGTGTCGTCTGGTTCTTCAACTGAATGAATATTTGTTCATAAATTAATGTTTGAGTCATTAAATTGATAATAATAACCATACATACCCTCATAGACAGGAATATTATGGATCTTTTCTTCAACTTTATTGCGAAGAATGTGTGTATAAGCGGTCGAATCGACCAGATTTTTAGACTCAATATAACCGCTTTCATTAGTTAGACGTTTTCTAACAAACCACCAGTCGCTGGTATGTCTTTCCACTACGTATAGTCGGTCTCCTTCTGATACGGATATCATGTTTGGCACTTCAGACACCACTGTAATCGTTGCAATTAGCTCTTCAACCTATTGTCACATTAATAAATAAATAGTTTTAATATTCTTATTCAATATAACTACTACTTTATGACACTTTTACAAAATTTCAGTGTTAACCTGAATTTCCTTTTTAATGGTCAGAGCAGACACCTCTTGCACTTCAACTTCTTTCTTAAGAGTCAATTCTGCCGCTTCTTCTGAGATCTGATAAGACTTATCAGGAGTTGTGTCCAATTGAATGGTCGCGCTTTCGTCCAATTGCTTAATACGTTCGTCCGATGACTTCTGTTTGGCTAAACTCAAGTCAAAACTTTTTTCTGTTTCACTGAAGTCTAAAACTTTTTTTGTTGAAATTCTTTTGGCTTTGAATTCCGTTTCATAAGATTCTGCGCTCTCCTCTGTTTTATTCACTTTCTTGAGACCAATATTGAAGACCTGATCTTTCTCTACGATCACCTGTTTTTCAATTGTCTCTATTTCTGAATCAATTGTGTCGACCACTGCCTCTTCTTCTGGAAGAGTAATCGACGCGAAAGTTGATTCTTCTTCACCCGTTATATCTCGTTGTTCTTCAATACGAATGGAAGCGCTGTCCTCTTCAACACAAACTTTTGGTTTTAATTTCTTTTTAATAGTAATATCAGTCGAGATATCACTAATTGTGGTTTTCTTCTCGTCGACTGTAAATGTGACGCTTTCTTCGCTCTTTCGTTTTGGCAAACGAAACGATTGCTCCAATTCTTCCTCTTCTGTTTGTCTGTCAATAGATTTTTTCTGCCGTAAGTCTAATGTAATGTTTTCGATGTCTTCTTCAATTGGCGCCCGAATTTCAATTGTTTTGTTGACATCACTTTCTACGATGTCTTGAGAATCCTTTATATGTATGGTTTGCGAATCGGAATAGTCTCTCGGTTTAGATTTCTTTTTAATTGAAATTTCTGCGCAAATATCGTCCAATTGTTTCTGATTTTGTTTAATACTTAGAGATACGCTCTGATCGTCCGAATCAGCGGATGTTTTCTTTAGTTTAAAAGTTTGACTAATGATTTCATCACTCGTCTCATCGGTCTGTAGGTTGGACTCTAATGACAAATCAACGGTTATATTACTTTCTGTGTCTCTTTGCTGGTCTTCCTCTTTGGATAAAGATATCACACCTTCAGTTGTGACAGATTTTTGTTTTGGTTTCTTTTTAATCATAATTTCTGTTGATATGTCTTCCAATTCTTTCTTAGTTTGCTCCACATTTAGACTAATCGTTTGATCGATTGATTCTTTGGACGGCTTTCGTAATTTAAATGTTTGAGTTGTGTCTGTCTTTTCAACTGATTCTCGGGACTCTGGTTTGACTTCAACTGTAGATTCGGTAATACTTTTAGGTTTTTTGATCTTTTTCTTGAGAGTTATCTCTGATGTCTGTTCCACTTCTGGCTGGACTTCTTCCGGTACTGTAGTTTTGTCGGGTTTAGTGAGTGTTACCGATTCGGACACTGTTTCCGAGGGAACGGTAGATATTTTGACTGTTTCCTCGGTTACCGATTCAACAGATTCTGGTTTGACTTCAACTGTAGATTCGGTAAACGTCTGGCTGGACTTCTTCCGGTATTGTTGTTTTGTCGGGTTTAGTGAGTGTAACCGATTCGGACACTGTTTCTGAGGGAACGGTAGATATTTCAACGAATTCTTCAGTTGTTGTTTCCACAGATTTTTCCAATTCTGGCTTGACTTCAACTGTAGATTCCGTAATACTTTTAGGTTTTTTGATCTTTTTCTTGAGAGTTATCTCTGATGTCTGTTCCACTTCTGGCTGGACTTCTTCCGGTACTGTTGTTTTGTCGGGTTTAGTGAGTGTTACCGATTCGGATACTGTTTCGGAAGGAACAGTAGATATTTTGACTGTTTCTTCAGTTACCGATTCAACAGATTTTTCCAATTCTGGCTTGACTTCAACTGTAGATTCCGTAATACTTTTAGGTTTTTTGATCTTTTTCTTGAGAGTTATCTCTGATGTCTGTTCCACTTCTGGCTGGACTTCTTCCGGTATTGTTGTTTTGTAGTTTTGTCGGGTTTAGTGAGTGTTACCGATTCGGACACTGTTTCCGAGGGAACGGTAGATATTTTGACTGTTTCCTCGGTTACCGATTCAACAGATTCTGGTTTGACTTCAACTGTAGATTCGGTAATACTTTTAGGTTTTTTGATCTTTTTCTTGAGAGTTAACTCTGATGTCTGTTCCACTTCTGGCTGGACTTCTTCCGGTGCTATTGTTTTGTCGGGTTTAGTGAGTGTTACCGATTCGGACACTGTTTCCGAGGGAACGGTAGATATTTTGACTGTTTCTTCGGTTACCGATTCAACAGATTCTGGTTTGACTTCAACTGTAGATTCCGTAATACTTTTAGGTTTTTTGATCTTTTTCTTGAGAGTTATCTCTGATGTCTGTTCCACTTCTGGCTGGACTTCTTCCGGTGCTGTTGTTTTGTCGGGTTTAGTGAGTGTTACCGATTCGGACACTGTTTCCGAGGGAACGGTAGATATTTCAACGAATTCTTCAGTTGTTGTTTCTACAGATTTTTCCAATTCTGGCTTGACTTCAACTGTAGATTCGGTAATACTTTTAGGTTTTTTGATCTTTTTCTTGAGAGTTATCTCCGATGTCTGTTCCTCTTCTGGCTGGACTTCTTCCGGTGCTGTTGTTTTGTCGGTTCGTGTGATAGTAACTGAATCCTCTTCTATTTTGCCTTTACTTAAAGTACTACTACTTTCCATTGGAATTATTTCCTGTTTTTTAGATTCTAATAGTAATTTAAATAATAAATATAATTAATTCGTATTTTATCATAATTTAAATAGTATTAATTATTTCATTTTGCAAAATAGGATTAGTAATCAAATATTTTATAACTTACTCTCGAAAGCAAATGTTTAAAAATAAAAAAAGAATCAAATGAAACTGCAAAATAATTAAGCAAATTAAGCATAATTTGAACCCATCTTACGATTAATTCCAATTCCCTTTAATTCTAATTCTAGTTGATCATTGGATTTATCTATTACTATATCTTTAACTAAACTTTCGGGTAGTAATTCAGCTGTGGTTTCAATCTGTTCATCAGATTCTGTCGGTTTGACAACGTCTTTATCACTTGGGAACTCTTGAGGTTTCTTTTCAGTGACTTCTACGGTCTCTTCGACAGCGATCTGTTCTACACCTTCAGGAGTGATCTCTTCTGTGGTTGAGTCGCGCTTTTTGGTCTTAATTTTCTTCTT